CCTCCCAAACCCATGGGTCTCCAACCCCCTACGTGCTCTTTATTTAAAAGACTGCGTCTTCTTCACTGCCCACAGTGCTTTGTTTTAAATAACGTGTCCGTATGTCCCTGGTTTGTTTTTATACTTCCCATCCTCTTATCTTTGTCTATTTGTCTCTTTGCAGTAGGGACTTATTTTCTTTCCTTTTTCCTTTTTTAAAGAAAGATCCTTTATATCTTATTACTAAGGGGTCATTTTTCCTCTTAAATTTGTGAATGGTATGAAAACATTTACCAAATGCTTCCTGCACATGTAACACATAATCCTATAATGTTTTTAGTCAGTGACTGTGGTAAAATACGTTCATTGATTTTCACATGTTGAACAAACCTTACATTCTGGGTAATGTGTAAAGAAAAGAGGCTTATTTAGCTCCAGGTTCTGGAAGGCCAAGAGCCTTGGGCTGGTATCTGCTTGGCATCTGGTGAGGACCTCCTGCTGGGTCAGGAATGGCCTGGCATGGCAAGGGCACCACATGGGGAGGTGAGCCATGGAGCCAGAGGGTGCAGCCTCTGTAATAAAGCCACTGTCCTGATGACCCATTAATCCACGGACCCACCAACCTGTAGACAGACTCCCCCCACCACGATGGGGATTCCGTTTCAGTATCTATTTTGGTGGGGACATTGACATCACAACAGCCCGAAATCTGTTTCCCAAAGTAGCCTTGTCGTGTGTAATTTTTCTCTTTTGATGGCTCCTTTCAGATCAACAGAGTTGTTTCATTTCCCCTCTGTTATCTTTGTGGTTACCCTGGAACACAATATGCATTCTCACTAACTCTATGTGAGCTATTAAGTCATTGCTTCTCAGCTCCAAATCCACTTTGTGGTGGCCATTACCTGAGACTGAATTTTTCTCCTTGCCAGCTGGTACAGAGGTAAACTGTACGTAGAGGGCACCAGAGAAAAAAAGAATTTCTCCGCCGGGCTAGTACGGTGCCATCTGCCTGCTGAGCTCCAGAAGTGCAGAGTTCCTGGCTCCCAGACTATGAGCTGAACAGCACCACGCAGTGGCTGGCAGCTTCCCTGGCGCCCACTTTTGTGTCTTCACCCCAAGACTGCGCACCTGAGGCACTTCCCGGTGGATGCCTTTCCCGGCACCTCAGGGTGGCTTTGAACAATGGCATTAGCAGAAGCCTGTGGAGGGAAATCAGATCCTAATGCCAAGATTACCTTTCTGGGTTCCTTCCACTCCCAATCTTGGCAGCAGTGGAGGTGGCGGGAAGTAGCCAGACCCTAGGTACATTTTGAAGGTGAGGTGACAGGATTTGCTGACCGAGTGGGATGGGAGCGCCAAGTAGAAAGGGTGATTCGAGTAATGGAAAGGAGACAGCAGATCCGAGAGGGGAGAGCAAGTGATGTGGGGTGCACAGGAGGAAGCAGATAAAGGAAGAAGGAAAATGAGGACATTGGAGGCATGCTGGGCCCAAGGATTGAGATCTGGTGACGTTGAGGGATGGCTGGAGTCCCGACCCTAGCAGGAGAGGACAGCAAAAGTAGCATGAGAACAGACAGGGCCGCTGGAGAGAAAATAGACTCATATTTCAAAATAATCTTTTATTCATAGATCATATACATTTGAACATATATTCTATTGATATACTTTACATTCTTAATAATTGAATAACTTTTAGTGTAAATCACAAAATATAATTCAATTACAAGCATTTCTATTTGTATAATGTTTGAGTAATCAGACATTATTGATGTTGATTTTTATGTGGAGAGAATCAGCTTTTCAGTGACCAAGTATGACCCTAGGAATTTAAAAAGACAGATTGGACCTGCAGATTCTGTTATCTTCAGAATTAAAGAGGTAGAGTGTATAATCAGAAAACAGAAGTGATATGTGCTCGTCAGCGGGGTGTGCTAGAAACCCTAACACATAAATCAGAAACCTAGTTGGCAATCATGTTCTCTTAAGAACAGAATTGTATGTCCTAAACTATCATATGAATATCATAAGCTACTGGAAAAAAGAAAAGGGTGAATTAGTTGCCTTTGATTTCAACCATTGAAACAATGTTTTTTAAGAGTTCAGAAAAAGGGTTACTTTTTTTTTCAAGACACAGATCTTTAATTTTCTATTGGTTTCAAAAGATTTTTGTCTATAAAACCCATTTTATTAGTGTTCATATCTTTTATTAACCAAAGAGCTACCTAACTTTTATAATTAATCAGCTGTGTCAAATGACAAGTTTTATAACTGAATCAAAATCCTTTTGGTCCTAGTGAAATGTGACCTCTTGGGGCAGGCTCTGCAGCCTCATTTTAATAAATATCTGATTTCAACAAAGATTTTTGAAAAGCTGAAAACAGTTCAGTAACTTTTCTTACTTGCCCATTTTCATGAAACCTATTTGTGGATTGAATCCATCAAAAAGAACAAAAGGTCTGTTTGTACATTCATCTGGATTTTTACTTCCTCCCATTTCATCCCTTGGTCTCTCATTGCTCTATTGCTCTCTTTTCTTCTGTTTCCCTTCTATCTCATCATCTGCTCCCCTTCCTCTTTGCTTTTGTTTTCACCCTAATCTTGCAAGTTTTTCCTTTCCTGTTTTTTCTGTAAGTGGATTCACCTCTCCTTTTGTTATGCTATGTTTTCCACAAAGACCTTGTTCCTATTGGTTTCACTCATTCTTTTTTACAGAGAATTTTGTGTGGAATAGTTTTGTGTGTGTATGCATGTGTGTGTGTGTGTGTACATGCATATACGTGCACACTAGGGATGGAACTCAGGACAATGCACATGCTCTACCCCAAGATACACCCCAGTCCCAGTAAAATGACTTGGAATGTGTTATGTAGTGACGTACAACTGTGAGATGTGTGAACATCTCACCCGGGCACCATGTGGTCACCAACTGCTGATGTCCTAAAGCAGAGTCTATTTGCCATAAACTTCTTCTATAGAAATGAGGCAGCAGTAAATTCTTGAGTTTTCCATGTTGCCTGGTAGTCCTGTGAATGACAGATATTACTCATGAGCAACAGTGTGGGTCTCCTTTTAGTCCTTTTCATTTCTTACTGCTTTGGGGCACATTTTTCTATCTTTTGTCTATTTCAAGCTATATAGATGCTTTAAGGGAAGGGAGAGTCTACACCCAGAATATGAGCTAGAGTAGGACTCTGACTCCTCACAAAGTCATCACTGCCCATCTGTGGGTCATGTGATGTCTGGTCAATTCATGAGGTTGCCAAGGTTAGCATCGCTTGTCTGCTCACCCTGAGTCAGGTGTCCACACCTGTGACACCAGTGACCTTCCCAAGGTCAAATGGTGGATGACAGAGCCAGAACTGTAACTCTGGAAGTCAGCCCCATGTGAGAGGTGCTGACCACCATGCCTTGTTGCCTCCTTAATGAGGCTGCTTCCACATGGACACGGAGCCTTAGACACAGGCACTGTGAAGCCATCCTCTTTCAGAGCTGCTCCAACGCCAAGACCGTGGACTCTGTACTCCATCTGTTGCCTCTTTACCTTTCCTACTGCCTCTTTTAATAGCTTCGGACCCAGCCCAGCATCTGGGCCTCTGTATGGAGCCCTCAGACTCTCCTTTCCTTTCAGTTTCCTGGAATTTCCTGTCCCTTTACTCCCTTGCCATGCCAGGAGGCCACACCTTGGTTCAGAGTCACCCTGCATTTTCTGTCTTTTAACATCACCGTCCCTTTCTGTCTGTAGTAATCCTCCTATCATCTCTCCCATTTTTCAGCTTTTTTAAATCTTTATTTAATCTTTAAGCCACTCACTGCCCCTACCCTTTCCCCTTGAAATACTCCTTCTCCACCATGTTCCCCCTGGTCATCTCGAAACCCCAGATGCATTCTTTCTCTGCTGAGAATCTCCAACAGTTTGTACAAGCACAGTGCTCCTCACAGTGAGCCTTGTAATGCAGCTGGAAGTAAATTTCCTTAGCAGCCTCTCCAGTTTATAATCATAACTCAGAAGACCCAGCCTGATGCCCCATGCTCTAGACTACAGTATGAATCAAAGAACTCTATAACTGAAATAAATGTAAAAGATACTCTGATTCCATCATTAATTTTATTGGTAAAGACACTATTTCAAGAGGCAAGTTACACTGATCATAGGGGACAGGAACTCATTTGTTCCCTTCATCCTTGAATGGATATTATGAGTAAAATCATGGGTATGCTGAACACTGTGCCAAGGGTGAGGGCTATCCAGGCTATAGACTCTACTTTCAGAAACTCACCATCTACTGGGAGAGATTAGTAACGCTGCATTACTACAGTGGAGTGTGAAGAGAAGCCATTTGGGGAATAAAAGAATATAACACATAAATGCTCAAGTCCAGGAATTTACTTTTTGTACTGCAATTCTACGGTCCTTTAGATGCGTGCATGTGAAAATAGTTTTTTTTTTTTTTTTCTTGCTACCAAGGATTGAACTCAGGACCTTGCGCTTTCGAGACAGGGACAGCTCCAATGAGCTAAATCCCCGGCCTTAATACTAGGTTTTATAGTTCATTCAGAAACCACATCTCAATCCGTAGGAAGGGTTGTCAAATCTGCTTTGCATCTAACAAGTTGATCCATCCATCCGGGAAAAGAAAGTGGTACACTGGAAATGAGGAGGGGATGTTTTCATCTTAGCGCTTTTAGTTTCTCTCTCTTCCATTTTTGTTGCTGCTTTTCCTCGTATCCTGAGGATCTCATTCTGAACTCTCACTGGCAACTGGAATCATTTCTCTTTTGTCTGTTCCCTGGCTGCATGTTCACTTCAGCCAGATCACAGAGTGTATGGACTCTGGAGTGGGTGTATTCACTCTCTGTTTCATTTACTTATTTTTTAACTTCAGTGTTCCCGTAATGTTCCCTCTTTTTTACCTGCCCCAGCCCCAAGTCAGGCTCTGTGACTGGTGTGGTGACAAAGAGAGGTCACAGGATGCACGGCAGGGTGATTCCCAGACCACAAGACCCTTACCTGAAAGCCCCAGGGCCACTCTATCCACAGTGCACCAGGAACAAGCTCCAGTTGGGGGGAGTTAGGGGGAGTTTTATTTGAAAATGATTCCAAAACCTGTAAGAGACAGAAAGCAGGGAAATGTGTTTTGGAAACCTTCATGCCTGTATTTTTGCCAGGATCTTTTTGGTACCTGGTACCCAGCTCTTTCTGAAACAATGTTTCTGAATGGTTTTATTTGCTCACATACCTTAGCATTTTCAGGGTGCTAAACACAGAGACTCCCTTAGAACATGATGACTTGGCCTTGTTTTCATTGTTATATCATGAGCTCTGCATTAAGAAATTCTCATTGGGGAAAAAAATTTAGATTTACATGCTGCACACAAAATCCTTAGGACCTGTCATTAGCAAGGGGCAGGTAAACACATCCTCAGAGAGGGAAGGGGACCTGGTTTCCTGAAGGATGACGTGGGTGCCCTGCACCCAGCACCAACATTCCCAGATCCCAGGAGCTCCTCCTAAGGAAATTCCTGGGAAAGTATGTAAGAGATGCCTACATGTCCTTTTGCCCAATCATGGTTTCAAGTAGCGAAAAGCTAGAAACAATTTAAGGCCAGTACAACTGGTTAAGTGGAGCCTGAATGCTGTTTATGGTGTCAGGTAGGCAGACATTAAAAATGATGGTGTGGGAAAATACAGTTATGTGGGAGATTACTATGATAAAAATGCTGGTACAAAAGTATGCACAGTATTGTCTTATTTTTATAAAAAGTACCTATGTATGTGCTTGTAAAAAGAAAATGAAGGATTAGCCAGACATCAAAATACACATTATCCCGCCTGGGTTATGAGATTATTTGTGGTTTTAATTTTTTTGTATTTTAAAATTTTTTTTCAAAGCTTCTAGAGCAGATATGTATTATTTTTATAATCAGAAAAAAATCAACTCGCAAATCTGATTTTAAGAACAAAGATAAATAGGGTGGTGACTGCTTCGCAGGATTTATTAGGCCATCCTCTTCTATGTATGACTCTTGTTATCAAAGCACAGTATAACAAGACAGTCTTCAGAAGCACAGGTACCTCAGAGTTTCCAAGATGAATTACTTTCATAAAGACAACTCCAGAAACTCCTAAAAGTTGCCACATTCTTTTTTTTTTTTTCAGAAGAAGTCAGGTATATGCTTAGCTAAACATGAGCAAAACTTGGAATTTTTTTTTGCTGTTGAAATGTTCATGATTGACTTGTGTGTCCTGATACCAAGGGATAGTGAAGAGATTGAGGAGTAGAAATCCATATTTGGGTCATGTTTGGAATACTTGAGATCGAGTTATAGAACATCCGTACTGGTATTGCATTAAAAAATAATAGCAATAACAATGCTGCCCTCAGCATTATTTTTATTTTATTGAAAAAAAATATATCCAGAGAAATGTCGATGCACCCAGGAATAGGCTGGGAGGACACACACACTGTGATGTCACCAAGGGGGAGAAGAGGGTGGGGCAGGAACAGATGTGGTTCCCTGGGAGGGCTGGGGTTGTTTACTTTGTATTTTATATACTTTTGCATTCTTTAAAATGTTTAAATATAATTTTAAAACATTCAAAAGGAACTGAGTAAAGAAGAAATTTTAATAAATGCCTATAATTGCAAGCTCAAGACAGAAGCTAAACAGTGGGTTTTGTTAAGATATTTTAAATGATTGGAATTTTAAAATTAAACACCTACACTTGTCAGAAGTTCTGCGGTAATGATGAGTAGTAAGCAGTAATCACTTTCCTTTGGTGATTATTTTGCAAATATAAAAATGCAAAATTGCCATCTCTGAGATTTCACTCCAAATATTCCAAGTAGGATTGTAAAGACTTACACAGTTTGAAGCAGAAATTAAATGGGCCATTCCTATAAGGCAACTAGACCTCCAAAGTTATGTTCAGGGTTGTGCACAATGTGTGACATGGGAGACCCCTGTAATTCGGGGACCATGTCTTAGCCACATAAATGCCCTCCTCATTCTTAACAAACACACCCTTTCCTTCTTATAATGTCCTTCCCCTTCCTATACCCAACACCATTTCCAAAGGTGATCGGGAACACACTTCACCTGAAGCTATACATGACCCTTTAAAATCTTATCTTTTCCTAACAAGGTTTACTTTCGTTTAGTACAGGGGGCTCTCCTGTATCTATCGGGATTTGAGGGCACAGGCAGTCACCAACAACTTATGTCCAGCTGCAGGATCCACTGCAGTGGCCCAGGGGGTGGACAGGCGTCCTCAGACTCACAGGTGATGAAATATGTCAGGATCCCGCTGGAGCCTCGTCTGGAATCCTATATACAAGTCGTCCCAGAGCAGACCGTTCTTCACCACGTACCTGATGACATCAACCCGGCTGCGAATCTGAAACAGATAGGAACAACTTGCAGGGTTGAGCCCTCCGGTTCCGTGCCGCTGCGGCCTGAGGAGTGAGGGGAAGCAGACAGCGCAGGCTGAGGGAGAAGGCGGGACCTCAAGCTCAGCAGAAATCAAGGGAAGGAAAATGAGGTGGACCGGAGTTCCGAGACACAGCGGCTGAACGCAAACTCCGGGTCACGTTGAAGTTTCAGACCCAGGTTTTCTCTGGGCAATCTTGGTAACCGTGCTGTGCCTCCGTTTCTTCCCATATAAAATGAAGATAATAGGAAAACAGTCCTCACTGGATTATTGTGAGGGTTAAGTGAGTGAATGTGTATGAAATACTTTTAAAAAGGCGTGGCACCCAGTGAGGATTCAATAAATGGCTGCTGCCAGGAGTGGAGGCAGAGCAGGGCCTGCGATCTCATGGCAACCTGGGCGTGTCCAGCCTGTAGCAGCAGCAGCACCAGAAGTCAGGTGGTCTAGGCTGCATCGTACGGAATCCCCTCTGCAGACACGGAGCTATAGGACAGTCAAAGGAGCACGCGATTAGAGACCAGTAAGGGGGACTTAATCTCAGCTGTGCACTAATTAACTAGGCGTGAGAATTTGCACTTACTGCCCCTTGTTTCCTCCTCATGGGTCTATTGTGAGTGGGGAGAATTTAAAAAGCATGAGGGGATGGCATGCATCCCAAGATTCAATGGGGTTTTAACAATCCATAAGTTCCCCTGTACAAGTTTTCAGGACTTTTCTTAGTACCTGCATCAGATTTCTTTTTTCCTGGTAAATACCATCCTAATGCTAATGACAGACTATTTGTCCAAAGACACAGAATGATTAGAAGACTGGCATTTTGGATTTATTTCCCTTTCCTGAACCATTTCTGTAAGACAATCATTGCTATTGTGAGCCAAGGGTACAACATAAGTCAGATCAGTGCCTTTACCAATAGAGCTTCCAAAACATGATTTCCTGGTTGGGAGGGGGAAGGTAAGGTCTGCCTGCTGGGACGCAGTATCCAGAACCTTCTTGCTCTGTGTGTATGTGGGGGGGGGGGGCTTTTTTGATCTCTAATCTAGAGAGGAACATGGAGAATTGGAGATAGATTTGCAAAACACTTCAGATGTGAAAGGAGGTCTTGGTGGCTGATTAGATTCGAGGATGAAGGAAAAGGGAAGAATTGAAGATTGCGTCCTTGTTTCTAGCTTGGCTGACTAGAGGGGGTGACACTACCAACAAGTAAATAGGAAGGGGGACTGGTCCATTTTGGAGGAGGAAGATGAAGGTTGGAGTTGGAACAGGTGCAAACGAGGTGCCCAGGACTAAGAACTCTGGGTGCTGATATCCAGCAGGTCATTGACTGTTAAGAATGCAAAGCCCAACCATACTGGATGGAGCAGGGGGGAAGTCCTGCCTGGATATACGGAGTGTTGGAGTTGTTAGCAGAGCAATGATGTCAGCAGATGTGTTCCCCCAGGAAAAGACTGAGCAAGATCAATTTGAGCACAGAATTCTGAAGGGAAAGAGAGACTGAGGTGGTTGGAGAGGAGAGTCTCTGATAAAAATGGTGAGGAATAGCCAGGAAGAAATGGAATTCAGGGTGTATTGTCACCTGTGCTGAGAAATGGCCTCAGGCCTCAAAATGTTGGACAGATCGCATGCATAACCTATCTCCACTAGGTTCCCAGATACGGCTAGAATGCTGGTAAAGCAATTATGCAGATATAAACTGTCACAGTGAGGAGAAAAGGGTCACTGACAGAGATTTGTGTAGGTAAGTGAATCTAGAAAGCAGGTTGACAGTGGCTTGTTAGGCAGGCCTGGGCTACAGCATCCAGAGAAATGGGGACCAAGGAACCATGGGTGACATCAGGGACAGATGAGTATTAAGTACATCCATGAGCAGATAGCCTGTCCTCACTCCCATGCACGTTTCCCAGCTGAACACATTCAGACATTTGTGTGAATGAAAAGACTTGGTGCTGGGGGAGAATGAGGGCAGCTGGTGTATTTGTGATGCTCCTAGCAAGGGTGTCTACATCTTAGCACTGAAGGGTCCCCTGTCCTACTAGTGGGCTCCTCACTTTCATAATTTAAAGCATACAGGTGACCCCCTGACCAAGCACAGTCTGGCTCTTGTCTGGTAGAACCTACAGACCTTGTATCAACTTGAAGTAATGTTGGTCTAATGCTGGGTATTTCACATGGAAATCTAGGTTTCTGAGTTCTCTGGAAAACCAGAAGATCAGCAGGAGCTCACTGGGGCTCCCCCTTGTAATCTGCATTTGCTCTCCACCTGTCTCAGCCCCACCAGCTTCACCCATCTCTGTGATCCACCATGAGCTACTCTGCAAGCATGTTTCCCTGAAAATAAGACTGGAAAATAAACTTCAGCTGTAAGTCATAGCTGGTTGTTACCATGGTGATGGCCAGTGTTGGGTAGAAGATTATACCTCACTATTCTCTTGCTCAGAGAATCATGGCAGGTAAGACAAGGATAGGCTAAGGGGGCTGGCATTTTTTTCTCTAGTGATGTAAGAACTGTAAGTGTGTGACCTCTGTCTTCAAGGAAAAATGCCCTGGACTGCAAGTCTTTTTGTTGGGAAAGAAGGATGAATCTTTTTGTTTTAAAGTCAGCTACAAAGGAAGAAGGATTGATGTGGCATCGATGTTCTTTTCCACAGCATCGAAAGTGATGGAAGCCAAAGGAGCAAGGAATCCAGGGAGGAGGACCAGCTTCTGAATCACAGGCCCCTTTGAGCTGTCAGTATCGCAGGGATGAAGGCACTGGAAGCTTGGCTCCTAGGTTCCTTCCCTCTCTCAGGCTGTTGTGGAAGCAGAAAGTCTTTGAAAGGAGTGAAGCAAGGAAGGGGAAGAGGTGGCGGGGTCTAGAGGAAATGACAGTGACCGGTATGCAGCAGAAGAGGGAGGAGCAAGGAGAGATACAGGACTCATATACATCTGCAAGGAGAGCTGGTGTGGCGCAAAACATAATCATGACTTTGAGAGGCAAGTAGTGCAAAGAGAAGGGGTCAGCAATATGAGAAGGCTGTAGGTAGCAATAAGAGGTGCTTTTCTAAGTGCAGACATTGCCTGTTTAAGCAACTGCAAACAGAGAACCCTTGCTACAGTCCCAGAAGCCCCAAGCCTGGCGAGTCACTCAGACAGCCCTGTGTGCAGCACGCGCCGAGGTGATTCACCACACAGAGGGCTGAGGTCCACATCGTAGCCGCTGCTGGCTTCATCCAACACACATGTCATGACACTATGAGAAAGTGACAGTTTTTCAAATATTTTAAATGACCTACTTCCGATATTTTAAATGCCGATTTAACTCTCTTTAGGAACACAGGTAGGTTCACTTGGGGAAGGGGACAGTGTTGGACAATCGAAGAGGAAGGCAGAGGTGGGTGTTTCAGGTCTAGCAGCAGCTGAGGCTGAGCAAGTGTTTGGAAGAAAGCGAGGAGGAAGTTTTCATCAACAACTCAAAGGGAGGCAAGCTTGGACTTCGATTAGCAACAGAGCTTCATCGTGGTTTGTTAGTTGTGACAAATGTACAATAGTAAAGTAAGAAGTAAACAATGCTATGTATTGTCTTTGGTACTTTTATGGAAGCAAGGAAAGGAAGGCAGGGAGGGAGGAAGGGAGGAGGGAAGGAAGTGAGATAGGGAGAGAGAGAGGCAAGGTAGGAGAGAGGGAGAGATGAAGGAAGTGAGGGAGAGAGAGAAGGGAGAGAAGCAGGAAGAGAAAGAGCCCCCTCTCCCCAGGTGCTGCTTACCTCCTCATATGGATGCTCCCGGCTGGGTCTTTCTTTTGGAAAGGATAAATCTAGAAAGTCAACCAAGTACTCATAGCCTCCTGGAAAAGGGTTGAAGTCCTCATCTGTCTCAATCATCTATGCAAATAACAACGTGACAAATGGAAAAAGAATATCAGTGAGGTGGTCGAGGTCTTTAGAAGAGTCTAAGTGTATGACCCAAATATTCCTAAAAGACAGCAATGAGTTTCAAGTTAATATTGAACTAACAGTCTCTTCTTTTCTCCCTCCTGCTCCCTTTAGATCAGGTCTTAGATTTTCAAGGAGGGGCTGTTGATCACATTGTCAAGTCCGTTCTCTGCTAGCCATTTGGAAGGGCTTTATGGATGCTCATTGAGACACAAATTAGAAAACACAGGAGGTTTCATATATTTCCATAAAACAAGAAAGAAGGAACAAATATTGAACTGCATACCCTGACCACTAGGTTATAATTCTTAAATCCAGCCCAAGTGAAATATTCTTTTATCCACGATGAGTGAAGGAAGATTTCATCTCCTACAGCAGCATTCAAGGTGTTCAGATATAGTCCGAAGTCCCAGGAATCCTTGTAAATCTTAGTTCCTTCAGGAGGCTCTAAGATGCCCTTGCTTAAAAACACAAAGGTGATAAATCAGTGAAAGAAAAATGCAACAAATAATGAAGCCAAAGGTTAGCACTTACAGAGCAAAGGTCAACAGGCTGGTAGCTTTGAGATGCTGACATGATCCTAGGCACGCCACCTTGGCCTTAGCCAGAGAGGCTCCCACACATGCTTGAGTCAGATGCATTTCTAAGTCAGATTTCATTTGAAGAAAAAAGTCCATGTCTGGGGAAAATTACCACTCCTCTGGACATCTTTGGTCCAAATAACTAAATTATGGAAATGTTGAATGTAATTTGGTTTCATTAATTTTGTGTCTCCACAGTTCTGGCTCCCCACCCAACTAGAATATGTCTGATGAAAGTAGCAACCATGACTGAGCATGCAGCAGGTGACCATAAGTATCTATGGAATATATGAATGATTTTGGCCTGTCTTTGAGATGCATGTAGAATTTTGTGTCTGGAATATATGGTGCCCTGACTGTACAAATCCAGAGCTGACAGACAGAAGGGGTGGTTTTATCTGGAAATTGATCCAGCAATGTAAGCAGCAGAGCTTGTTCACAATCCTGAAGCTCTGTACATCCTGTGTGAAGATGTACATGGTACATGGACTCTTGGATCCTGGGTGAAGAATAGGATAGGATCTAGACAGGGGAAACATAAGCAAGGAAGTGGCCGCCTATCTAGTAAAGATGTGGCAGCGAGGCAGATGTCCCTCTTCTCAAAACTACACGTTCAGTCTTCTGTATGCCCAAAGCTACGGATGCACTGCTATCTGTAATAAATGGTTTACCAAGTCCTATGCCTTCTCATGTCTACATAGATCTCAACCCTTCTCCAGCTTCTTGCCTGTCTCAGTTCAGAGCCTCACTGATCTCTTCCTGTATGAAGCTGCAGCCTGCCCTGGTCTCCTGACTCCAAGGTTCCCACCCTGCAGCTTCTTCCCCAATGGATTCTCCTCTGCAAAGCTGAAATGGCTTTTCTAAAACACAGCCCAGTAATGCTCCTTCTTTGCCTTACAAATTTCTGCAGCTCCCCTTACTTCTAGGACCAGTTCCTTGCAATGGGTCATTTCCATTCCCGGCTCAGCACAGCATTCCTATCACATCCCTTTCCTCTGCCTAGGCTTATCAGCCCTGCACTTGGGCACAGGGGTGGCTTTGTGATGGCAAGGACTTTTTCATGGCTGTATTTCCTGTACCTAGTGTGATGTCCACTGTACAGAAGGAGCTCAATTAACCATTTCTAAACCAACAGCATACATTTATTCACTCATTCAAATACTTACATTCACCAAATCCGCAATGCTATTTATGTCTTCTTTCCCCAACACAAGCCATACCCTCTGACCGGACTCCCTTCCTTGCTCTCTGATGTTCTACCTGCAGCCTCCTCCTCATTTTTGGGACCTGGCTAAATGCAGAAGATTCTGGGCTGAGATTTCCTGTCTCCTCTTCCCTCACAAGATGGGTAAACGCGTAGTCTCTGTGTGTCCCTACCCTGTGTGCTAGTGCTGCAACCCAACAAAGGAGATTCCTGTTTCCCAGCCTGCTTTGGTGTGTCTCAAGTATACAAATGCACATTCTTTAGTTAGGCCTCAGATCCAGTGACTCTGAGTCTCTAAGGGGAGCCCACAGGTCTGTGCTTATGAAAGTCCTGCCCATCATTCAGCTATTCACGAACTGTCAGAATGGCTGCTATCAGATAGATCTGCAGGAGAGGGAAGAGGGTTTTAGATAATTACACAAATCTCTTGAAGTCCCATCCATAACTGAAATAATCAAAAACAATCTTCACTCTTAACCTGCAGGCATTGGGGGATCTAAAAGAATCTGAGTCAAGACAGAAAGAGATAGAGTCTTTAAGTTTAGAAAACATCCTTGCTAAATGCAATGCACTCACGTTATTTTCTATTCTATTCTTTTTAACTTCATTTAAATGAATGGCTTGTTGTGAGCAGCAATTGTGACATTGTGGCTTGTCCATGACTGTGACCCCCAGACTGGAAACTGCCAGGGTTGGCTGGGCCTGGGGGAGTGCACATAGTCAAGGCCACCGCAGGATGCTGGCTAGAAACTGGGGGAGGTGGAGGTGAGGCCCAGGCATAGAGGAGTGAAGGACTTAAGATTTATAAAGGAGAATGGAGCAGGTTTGGTAACTAGCTTGTTATGGGGACTTAGCAAAAGGGTAAAATAAGCTGATGCTGTCCATGCTGACATGGAGAGGCGAGGCTAGGAAAGGAATGCGCTGTGCTGCAAGGTGTTGGCTCGTGTCCAACCAAGGTGAGGAACTGGTGGCTCCATTTGGCTTGAGACTAATACTCATAAAAATGCAGGCTTGTGACTCCAATGTTAACGTTTCTTGAACTGCATTTCCAGTGCAATGTGACTCATTCAAATGTACTATTCTTGGAAATGGCACTCAGTAATGTGCGCTGGTGTTAAAACTTTCTAACTAATTGCTTTTTACTTATATAAAAGCAGGTACTTTTGAGCTGTATCAATGGTCCATAAGAAACAACAGCTTAGTCTTTACTCTCTAGTAAGGTTCTGAGATGAGGAAAACATTTGAGTAATTTTTAGATAGAATGAAAAGCTTGGAGGTAGAAAACCTGTCTCCTCCTGGATCTAAAGATATTTATTAGTTTATTTTATTTAAATGGTAAGACTTTTATTTTATAAACAGATGGGTGGATCTTTCTGAATAAGAATCTTAGTATACTACTCAACAAAACTTAACATTACTACAAAATAGGGACCTGTCAAGAGACCAGAGATGAACCCTCTAATTTTCTCATAATATTGCAAATATTCATAGAGCATTTTTATCTTCTATAAGCATGTAAACCAAACCTGTCTGTTGGGTCCTTCAGCATCCTGCCCAGGTCAAGGGTGGCTCCAGGTCGAGGGGTCCATGTGACTACATCTGAATTTTTCTTAATAAGATTGTTGAGCTGATTTGGGTCATTTTTGATGTTTGTTTCCTTAATGTACCTGACAAATAAGAGTAAGCCCATGTAAGAAATATTATCCTCAGATGCATGCTCTGATGACTACAAAGACAGGGTTTTTTTGTTTTCTCTATATTTTACTTCCCAATCCCCCTCCACTCACACCATGCAGAATACAGACCAAACTTTATGCTTTGATGTGTCTCAAGGGTACACAGTTTCCTGGGCTGCATTTGAGCTAATGTTGCTAATGAGAAAAATTACCAGACAAAGAAGTTGTAAAGATCTTTTGTTTCTAAGTATTAATCATATGGAATCAAGATTATATAAATTATATGTAATTATATATATTATTATATATTATATAAATTATATAAATATCAAGATTATATAAATAAGTCAGAATTGTACTCTTATATTTAACCTTAAACATATTGACTGGTTAAATATTACTGAGCAGCCATCACAGTAAGGGCTTAACATGAACACATTGCTTTTATTTCATAGTGCCTCACAAGATAGCTGCTACTACTATGGTTGTGCTAAAAGAAGGGAACTAAGGCTTAGAGACCAGGTGCCTTGCCAGAGGCCGCATGGCCAGCAGGCAGTCCAGGCCTAGCTCTTCACAGGCTCAACCTTCACGCCAGGCCATAGGTAGGGGCCTCGCCCCAGCTTTGGAAGTATGTGTGAGAATTCTCTGTGAATGGGATGGGTGAGGGACAGCAAAAGAGGAGAACCAGAGAAAACAGATTTGTCATTATGATTTATCTGACATAGTTTATCTAGAGACATTTCTGGTAAAGGCAATTCTACTTTCTTAGCCTGTAATTTAGTTTGCCAGACTTGATATTTTTGGTCAGATAGACAAAACACACAACATGTGATCAAAATATATGGTAAATGTAGAAATTTTTAAAAAGTTATTTCAGTAAAAGACATATTTGCTATTAATCCTCCTCAAAATATGCCCCCTAGCTTCAAACATACTTATCCCATCATTCTTGTCACTTTCTGCAGAAGTTCTGGAAGTCCTCTCTCCTGTCTTTATGAGGTGTGGTTAAAAAAAAACATGGTGAATGCTACTGCCAAGTGTCATCCAACAGAAAGGCAGGTTCATAAATACATTACAGTGTGTTTTCATCCACCTCATTCTCCGGATCTGACACCATGCAACTTCTAGTTCTTCCCCAAAGTCAAACTGACCATTAAAGGTAAATATTTGTAATCAATTCAGGGTATTGAGGCTACCAGGAAATCACAACTAAAGATATTCACAAAAGACTTCCAGACTGCTTCAGAAAATGCAAGAATGATGAGATAAATGTGTTTGAAGTGAGGGGGAATATTTTGAGGGGATTAATAGCAATGATTCTTTTACTGTAATAATTTTTTAAAATTTAAACATTCACTTTAGTTTTCTATCACATCCCAAGCAAAAGTATTTATATTTTTATAGCACTCAGTGACATAAATTACTCATGACCTTGGAATTAATTTTGCGCACACAAGTGAAGACGTTGTTGTACTCAAAAACGGTGTCTTTTTCCTTCCCACTCATTGTCCTTCGGTTGTTGCAGCACTTAATTTAAAGCAGTGGCACTACTTTTTCTCATCTTCTTATTACTGTCCTCCTCACAGTAGTCACTACCTGGTCACTCTGCCTCCAATTTTCCCTTCTGGAGTCATGTCATTGTCAGTTATTCTTCCTAAAGTGCACTGTGGTGTTCACAAAGGTCCAGAGCTTCTTGATTCTTTGTCTCCTTCTCTAAAATAACAATATGATCAGCATCTCAGTGCCATCCTTTGTATGTAGGTACTGAGGGCAACGTTGTCAACTACTTACACATAGAAATCTGGCTTTTAATGGCTTTCAAAGACTGAATCATGCTAAGATTTTAAGTGTCCCATAGAGAAGTGTTTACCACCTCTAATTCTTCTCCCAGTCTTTGCAACTTAACCTTAATTTTTCTTTTACCTGAATTCTCTTCCCACTCCCTGCTGCCATTCATCTTCCTTCCTAGGTTATTGTAATGGTTTTCAAACTGGTCTCCAGGATCAAATGAATTTTTCCTTTTCTGCCACACCAATGTACAACCCAGCATCCCCAGTGCACATTTAATTACATCCATGTCCCTCACTGGACTCTTTGATCTGGCTCCCTAGACGTTTGGGATAAAATCCAAACCCCAGGACATGATGGGGACTGAGTTTCTTTCTGGCTTCTTCACCTTTCTCTTTGCCTTCACACCCTATCCCCTGTGTTGAACTCTACTCTCTCAGCTCAACATCTTTCCATCTTTGCAGGTTAGTGCCTACTCATCTTTCCAAACACAGCTCTCCAAGCCTCACCCAGTAGTTATTTTCTCACCCTATCTGCTTCACCTTGCATGCCCTTACACTCCGCACTCAGTGTTAGAAATGTTTTTCTCTTCCAGGAAACCATAATGCCAAAGACAACCATTTTTTATGTAGTTTCCCAGTGCTTAGCACATTGCCCCTCAGTAAATGGTAAATGAAAAAATTATTAAGGAATAGTAGTGACCAAAAGAAATTATTTCTTTAACCTGAGGTCAATCTTACTGAAAACAATTGGAAGATATGAGACAACTAGTCAATATCAACCAGAAAGGAAGGAAATAAATCTGCAGTAGGCACATCAAGGGATTACACACATGTAGCTACATGGTGAGAGAATATAGAATAACGTTTACATAATAAGTTATGTTCTACTGATGAGACCAATTAAGCTCAAGGACTGCAGATGACTGGTCCCAATAAATGGTGACAGGACCAGAACTAAATCCTAGGTAAGTTGCTCTTTCTACTGCATTGCTACATCTAATTACAGGAAGTCATGCCATCCTCACATGATCATTGTCATAAAAACTTACCTCAAAATTTGATTTCTTTATTATCCAGTGCATTCAGATAAGTACTTTATTGAGATGACTCACATAGGCCATCTATGCCCCTCCCGGCAACTGCATCATAAAGTGCGTCTCTGGAGCAGATGCCACTTGCCCATAAAAACTTTATGGCTAGGGACTGAGTCACTGTATGTGCTCAGGATTTCATGAATCCTATATCTAAATATTGTAATCTTACAAAAGTGCAGCTTAAACATCTGTACGATTTTGCCTAGCAATTAAAATTATAAAATTTGGCTCTAAATACTACAAAGTAGGTAGATATCTTTGTATGTTGTTTTTCCCCAAGATTTTGAATTCCATAAAATGTGCATATGACAAAATTTGATTATGTCACAAATGTGACTTAAATATACTTGATTTAACTACCATGGCTTAAGCTGCTCTTTAAGAATAACTGTTTCACGCTGAACCAGCTGGAACAGAGGTTAGGTAGAACTCTTGAAGACATTGGTGTAGGAAAAGATTTTATGAACAAAACCTCAGTTGCCTGTGAATTAGCACAAACAATCATCAAGTGGGATCTCTTCTTATTAAAAGGCTTCTGCACAGCAAGAGAAACCACCAACAGTGTGCAGAGACAACCCACAATGTGGGAAAAAATTTTCACCTGATGTTCCTCAGACAAAGGTCTACTATCTTGAATGTATAAAGAATTTTTTAAAATCAGACCTCCCAAATTTAAAGACCAAATCCAAAAACGGGCATCTGAAATGAACAGACATTTCTCACACAAAGAAGTAAAAATAGCAAATAAACATATGAAAAAATGTTCAACATCACTGGTCATTTGAGAGATACAAATGAAAACAATGCTGAGATTTCACCTCATCCTGGAAAGAATGGCTGCTATCAAGAAATCAACCAATAGCAAATGCTGGCAGGGCTGTGGGGGAAAGAGGAACACTGCTCCACTGTTAGTGGGAGTGTAGACTGGTGCAACCACTGTGGAAATCAGTATGGGGATACCTCAAAGAACTAGAACTGGAAGTCCCATTTGACCCAGCTATTCCCCTGCTGCGTAACTTCCCCCCCAAATTAAAAGAATCATACCACAGCAATACATGTGCACCCATGTTCATAGCAGCACAGTTTGTAATAGCTAAAACTTGGAAGCAGCCCAAATGCCCATCAACTGGAGACTGGATCAAGAAAATGTGGGGGTTTTTAATAAAATGGAGTACTACTTAGCCATCAAAAATGAGAAATTAGAGACATTTATTGCTAAATGGATGTATATTGAGGTCATACTCTTAAGTGAAATAAATAGGACACACATGTGTAAATACCGAATAGTTTCTGTAGTGTGAGAAACTGAAAGTATAAATAAGGACTAAAAGGTATAATAGATAATGTGAAATAGGAAGAAAAGGGGCAAAGGGGAAGGGGAAGTGGGAGGGGTAGGGGAAAGGAAAGAAGGGAGTGGTATTAATATGAGAAAATGAAAAAAGTGGAAACAAAATCTTTGTAAATAGGGAGGGATGGATGGGTTGAAGGGAGGGGAGGGGAAGGGGAAAAAAACAAGAACCAAGAGAGATAATGTAAAGGTGCAAATTTCCAATGATGAATATCATTATATTGTATTTCTAAAATGTACCAATAAAAGGATATTCAGTTAAAAAAAAAGAGTAACTGTTTCAGACTGAACATAAAACAAGGAATGATAGTCTAATTAAATGGAATCTGAAAGCAAGCAGAAGTAGCTAAACTGATATCCAACAAAAGAAAGTTCAAGTCAAAATTAGAAGGAACAAAGGTCGTAACATATTGATAAAGGAAATAATCTATCCAGAAGATATAACAATTGTAAATATATATGCACTGAATGCCAGAATATCCAATTTAAACACTACAGAACATAAAGGGATAGGACCCAATATAACAATATTGAATAATATCAATTACCCACCCTCACCAATAGATAGAATTTCACACACAAAATAACAAGAGACATCAGTGTTAAATTACAATATAGAGCAAATGGACTTAACAGATGTGTATAGAATATTTCATCTAATAGCTAAAGAATAGAGATTCTTTCCATCAACTCACAGAAATTTCTCCAAAATAAATCATAGTTTATGACATAGAGCAAATCTTTTTTTGTTTGTTTGGG